ATCGGTAAACATTTTTTATTTAATTAGGTACAAAAAACTCGTGAATACTAATTTACTTTTCATTTGAATCGTAAAATAATATGACCACAAAATCTTAAAAAAATGTGGCCTTAAAAAATCTTGATCGGTTTGGTGTGATTTCCATCCTCAAAATATCAAAATAACGAGGATATATAGGCCAAACGGTCCAACTTGTAGGCCATATTTTTTTTCCGACTTTGTGATCATATTATCTTACGATTCAAAGCAAATACGTATTCATGAGTTTTTAGTATATAGTATAATTAAATAAAAAAAAGATTGCCAATCTCCAGATTGAAAACGTACCAATTCCGAGAATTTTCGTTAAAAAAAATGTATGCAGGTTACGATGAGATGAAGCTATTTACGAAGTTTCAGACGGATGTTAATAATTTGTTAAAAAAAGGACTATGTACCACGGACTATATATAATACACTATACAGGAGTATACGTAAAAGCCGATGTCGGCTCCGAGAAGCGATAGATATTGAAAACGATGTGTCTATAGGTATTGAAAATATAAATTGAGATATAAGAACCCCATTTCAAACCTTTAATACAAACCAAATTTTAAATAAAAATCATTGAAAAAAGTAGGTTCCAGAACCCCTAAGTGCTGAGACGACGAACCGTAACAGGACTATTTAAGCTTTCGAAGTCAAGATCAAGATCCGGTGAAGTTCTTTATTATTAACAATTAAACATACCAAAAAAAAAAAGTTAAAAATATTGCAACACGATGCGTGAGAGGAGACCGGAACAGGAATAAATGAGTCAACAAGAGGGAGTTCGTAGAATTTAATGACTAGTTGCAATTTTGTAAAATTATCATTTAGCAAGAATAGCTGACAAACCGAAAAGTGACTATAACGTTTCTTATTTACTAATATATCTTCCCAATTTTTTTTTTATTCTTTTAAACTTAAAAACAAAATAAAAATGTTCCAATTGTACTAATTAGAAAAACAGTTAACATGACAGAAACTCGTGAGATATTTTCCAAAGATACGGCCCAGGATTCAAATGAACTGTGTTTACAAACACATACTTCTTAAAAACTTATGAACCATTACAATAGTTGTTTTGCAAAAAATAATTCATAAAATTTTCATTGTGTATTATTAAAAAATGATACATTAAAAAAAAAACAGTTTAAAAAAGTCCTTGTTAGTTTAATAATTAAAAAATTTTATTTTATTTAAATTTATCCTAATTTCCGCCTCTTCAGGCATAAAATCTAACTTTACAAATTGAATGTGAATTTTCATCTGAAAAAAATATACACATAAAATTATTTCACAGGATTTACTAGTAGACATTAGCCAATTTATAAAACTATTAATAACGAATATTAACAAGTCAACAATATGAATATTAAAAAAAAAAATACCGAAACTTAATCGGTGTTTACCATCTTACTATCTTGCACACTTACAATTAGTCATAGTACACTACAGAATGAGACCAATCCTTCAGGAAAGGGAGAGGCGTTGCCAACATTAAAATATTTAAATACTATAATAATAATAATAAGGCTTAGCGAACCCGAAGGTTCGATGCCGATATCATTGTTGAATCATGATATTTATTGTTTCCGAAAAGAAATTGTTTAAATTTTTGGCATCACTTTTAAAATTTACAACCCAACACCAAGGCCCTGGGATATATAAAGTGCTTCCAATTATTTTAATTTTTGTTCAGAATTATCACGATGAAGGACGGTTCATGGAGGACATACTGGGTTCTCAAAATCAAATTCATGTTTTAAGTATTTTAATTATTTAAAACTAAAAAGGCCTTTTTTTCTACTGATTATGTATTATTATCGTAATATAATTCCCTTAAAAGCTGAAATAAGTTCCAGTTTATTTAGAAAAGGAAAGTTAAACTAACATGACAAATTCTAATACGAATCAAATAATAATTATAAACAACAAAAGGTACCTAGTCAAGAATTGAATTATTACACTACTAATTAGGAATATTGAATATTTAAAATAACTATATAAATAAATTATTGTTGATTGAGATTAATTAGTTCCAATTATAATTCAAGTTTTTCCAACATTACCATAAATGAGATTTTTCTTTATTTTTAAATAAGTAATTTGAAGACAATTTAATTAATAAATAGTCTATTTAACCGGTAACATGGCGTGAAATTCGAGAAATTATGACAAATTAAGTAATTTAGGTATCCTACAGCCTTGGGTTCTGTTCCACTTATAGGTTTCGTTTCTGATAATCACTAAAAGTAGAAACCTTAGAAAGGACAATCTGATAAACACCGTATTACTATTAACCAAAATTATTTAGTTTATTATTAAAAAAAATGTATTTACAGAATACAGTCCATTGTAGAATCAATTTTTTAAGAGTTTTCAAGCAAATCATGAACATTCTGATCTATTAACTCATTAAGGTATATTCTCATTGTCATAAATCTTTTATTCAATCAATTATTTGTGAATATGTTAACAATATCTCTGAGAAGATAAAGAAAAGTAAATAAAAAAAAACTACATAATTCATCAGCATAATTAAAAGTAAAATAAAAATACAAGCAACCATTTGTTAAGTGGTCAAATAACATTAACTTTGTATACCAATTAGGTTCAAGCGATGAGTTTGTAGTAGGGCACCGAAATACTACAAAAAAAAACTTGCGAAAGCTGGAATTAGAAAAAATAAATAAATTAGATTCAAGCGATGAAGAAGAATCTCATCAGAATCAAATACACCTTATTTCTGATTTTTTTTTTGATACTAGCGAAAAAAACAAAACAAAAATAATCTATTTGATCTTAATTAGGGGGAAAATTATAAAGGAGTAGAAACTTACCAAGAGACAGAGAATCGATTTTAGTTTATGATTGGAAAAAGTTCAACTACATAATCATTTGTATCTACAATGCAAATAAAAAATACAATAGTCTCTCAAAGTTTTGCACCAATCACATGGAATGATGTGGTTTGATCTTGGTTTCTTTTCTTTCTTGATGATGGCTGAATTGGCGAAAAGTCGAGGGGTTATTCTTTACCTGTATTTTAAAGATACTTGGGATATTCCAATTATAACATATTGATGTGGTTAGTTCTTTTATTATTATTATTTTTTAATGAAGTTTTATATTTTATTTGATTTTCATTGAGAAACTTTAAATATATTTTTACATGAAGTTCGAGAATTTTTTGATTTCAATGTCTTACTTTATAATAAGATATAATATTATATTGTAAGTTAACGAATATATATGCAATATACATCGTAATCAAATATTGATAAGCTGATAAGACTGCGTTATCACAAGTCATGACGATCATATTGAGTCATGGTTGATCAAGCGTCAGCGCCCAGGCGATGACTGTTCCATATGACTGATTCGAACGAGACAAGGCAAACTGATGAGGAAAGTGGGAGAAGATTGACCTCACTTCTTCAAAGTATCATTGTGGAGCCGATACTTCAAAACAATAGCGGAACCCATACAACAGAACCCGCAATACGGAACGGCAATAGTGAGGAAAAGGCGTTGGCGTGACTGCTGAGAGCTAGGAGTAGCCTCAAGATGTGAGCGGTCCCTCGACAAGAACCGGTTCTTTGAAGCCCCTGCGGAGCCCGGTTCTTTATCAATCTCCTTTCCTAACTATAGCTCTCCTCATGTCCGCCATAACAGATCTTACTTTTACAACACATCTACCGGCGGCCGCAACCTACATTTGTGGCGAAAGGTCATTCCGCTGGTTGAAGAGCGAAATGTCGGAGTCACGAGTTGCTGTAGTCGCAATACCGTTCTAATAAAACCGAACGAATGTTTAGGCAATATACAGCGAAGTAATAAAATTATTAAAACATAGTGCATTGTGGATAATACTAGACTAAAATAACTGAAAATTAAATATTACAAGAACAATTATAATGCCTATTTCTGTCATAAATGTTGTTTTAAGGAAATATACAGAGATTTCAATAGAAAAAATTAATTTTTGCAATAACTTAATTAGAAAATAAAATGTATATCTATAGAGAATAAAATAAAAAATAAATTACTCAAAATGTCCCTCTTTTGCCTTGACACAGGTATTCAATCTCAATAGCAGAGCGCAGTACTTCTTGAGGAAAGAGCTCAACTGCTCGGATCAGAGATTGTTTGAGGCTTTCCAAGTTATGGTGTGCTCTGTGGCATGCCATTATCTCCAGTACGGACAAACGCCGATAACCTAGTTGGTTGAGATCAGGCTTCCTGAAGGCCAATCCGGAGCAGACATGGACTCTTGAATGTTCTTTTGCAGCCACTGCTGAGTTGACCTGGCATAGTGAGCTGGAGCATAATCCTGCTGGAAAAACCCAATGACTGACAGCAAACAGAGTATCATTTAGAGGCTTGACAACAGGTTCCGAAATATCGTCCTGATAGTTTTTAGCGATGGTTTTAACTCCTTTTTCCACAAAAATGGAGCTTTGTGGTGCCATCAAAGCAAACTCCCCACCAAACCTTCACCGAGGAAGGGTGATGACCTCTTTCCACTCTTCCAATGACTTCCTGAGCTTCTTTAAGAGTTGTATGCGATCAATTTGGCGATTAAATTTTTCTTGAATTGTAAAAATTTTCTCATCGCTAAACAAAATCTTTAGATTCAACGGCCAAGAAGTTACTTATTAGGGTGGATGGCCACCCTAATTTTATTTTTAGTTTTAGATTTATTTTATATATACATTTTTCTTGTTTCTTTTTTTTTAACATTATTTATTTAATTTTTTTATATTTATACTTATTTCTGTATTATTAGTATAGACATTGATCTGACAGAAATTCTTATTTCCCGAAACCTGATTTCTTATTTTATGGAATTAGAAGGTAGACGAGATTGATTGTGAGGTAGGTAATAGCGCTACGAACACCCAGGCTGTTACATGATTTACAATTAGAGTAAAAAGAAATACATAAAGAGAATAAATTAGGTTGATACGAAAGGCTTAATCAGCAAGCCAAACATAAGCGAAATGTGCACAGACATTGTAAATAATTAGAAGCTTGGCTTCCAGGAAACAGGCTTTCTGTGATTTTCCAGCAGGGTTCTGCTCTGGTGATTTCCTACCGCACGTGATCCTACCGAGACAGGAAGAACCATCCAACTGTCCTGAAGACACGGTCCATCGACTGTATAGAAAGATATCATCCATTCCTCACAAAATTAATATATTTTCACTAAAGAAATATATTTTATTTGGATAACATAAAATGAAGAATATTGAAACAATTATTTTTTTCATTACTTTAAGACATTCCTCCGGATAAAAGAACAGCAGAGTAAAGGTTTGTGTTTTAGTTTATATACACTCAAAATAAAAAAGTAAATTATTCGTCATCAATTCTATTGAGCCTAGTTCCATGCCAAAACTTTAATTGAGCGGACTAATAAGGAAACCTGTATTTTCAATTGTACTAAATACATATAAGAATCGACATTAGAGTCTATCTGGTTAGTCTTCGTTTTCTCTTGAATGAAGAGACCACTGGGGGTGGAAGTTGGGTTAAGCGGGCGGGCAATAAACGAAGACAGTATAAACCGTTGGATCCTGACGAGAAGAGATCAACTGCAAGGAGATAAGAGAGCAGAGGTACAGAGGCCGTTTTCTCCTCGTCATAAAATGGTAGGATCGTAATTCGGGGAGGGGGGGGGGGTGCCCACACCCAGCCCCCACGGCTCGCCTACTCTAGAGTTCTGTCCTTTCCAGGATCGGCTCCAATTTCTATAGAAAGCTTCCTTACTCCTACACCACCTCCAAGAACAAGGTAGTCACTAAATTAGTAGAGTAACATCATAAGTTGATACAACAAAATAACAATAAAAACACAGACATATCATACGTTGCACGCTTTGTAATCTCGCCCTGATGATACGTGCATAGGTGAAACGTTGATTTTTTATACATATTAACAATAGATTTCAGTCTCATCTCTTAAAAAAATATAATAAAAACAAATTTTCTACCGTCTAGCTAATCTCAAAATTATGGGAGAGATGAGCCAAATGGATGGGGGAGGAAATATGACTATGTTCTAAATAGATTGTACAGACGATCGACCAAATATGAGGGCGGAGGGGGAGGAGGGAGAGGAGATATATATTACAAAAAGCATATATTTTGAAAAAAACATAGTTGTATCCCTCGCTAAAACTTTTCATGTACTTCAACTTTTTCACATGTTTCTGTCAGATGATTTAGAAATAAGTATAATAATAAAACCCCCCAAAAAAATTCGTTTCATCTAATTCTTATTTCGTAAATATTAAGGCAATATTTTTTTATTAATCAAATAAACAATGAATTAAAATTTTCAACAAATATAATAATACATCATGACATCACAAGATGTTTTATACAATGAATTTTTTTTCTTTACTTATATCGTCCCTATGAGAACATTTTGCGATAGCGACGGTTGTGTGAGTGGGAGCGACTGTTGGGCGCATCCGGATAAGAAGCGGAACATTTTCGATTCCCTTCTGAGCAGAATAAACGGTTTCGTGGCGGACTAACAGAATAAATGCCGGCACCTTACCATGCCTCGCGTAGGGCGATAACCCCGAGATAAGCAGTCCTTCCTGTCCTAAATAGATTACAGAGAACTAATGTAACTACAAAAAAGTAAAAACAAAAAATTAACACGCTTGAGGAATAGAATAAGAACGTAATATTTTTAAGTTAATAAAGCAAAATCAGTCTTATCTTAAAACATGATATGACTTTTATCCTGTCAGCTCCAGCATATGAAACATTGTTGAAAACCTCAAACGCATTAAACAAAAATCGCCTGTTATAAGGAAGAGATTTTTTGTTGGATATGTGCAGACGTTAGGACACAAATGACCGCATAGCATCCGAGCCGCACTGTGGCCGTATGAAAAGAACCTTCTCAATAAAATCAAACATGGCCGCAGCTATTCCTCGTTTGTTCTTCAAACCCAACCTAACAGAATGTTTGGTTTTATCGAGAAGTTAAATTAAACGGCCGCGGGCCGAGCATGTGAGTCTACATGAGTCTTGAATATAATATAATAGATTTAAATATTGACATACATAAAACTATGTTCAGGAGAATAAATAACTAAATAATGTGAAAAGTCATGACAGCTTGCGAACTAAGAAGAAATCGAACTCGTAGTGGATCGTACGAAAGCTTCTGCGGGAGGATACCTACAGGGATATTACTTCATTTGATGTTGGATGTCATTAAAAAAGACTTATTTTTTATATTTTATAATTGGAGCATTTTTTTTTTAATATTCTAAATATTAATATAATAATATTTGTTTTCTTTTTTTTATCATTTACAGATTTCAGTTAAAAATTAAAGCTCCTAAATTTCAAATTTCTTTATAGTTTTGTCTGGATTAACGACGTTTCGAGCCTGGATTAATCTCAAGTTCATTCATCATTTACTGTAATACGAGTACACCAGTGAGACCTCTCGCATTAAATAGCCATCCTTCTGAATGCATTCGACGTATAAGCCACATCAGCGGAAATGTTTATTTATACATACAAAATAATATTACCAAGTTAGAATGTATACCGTGGAAACCAAGAGACTTTCTGCAAGAATTACGGTTTACCTTAAAAACGATAAATTCGAGGCTTTAAAACCCATAGCCTGGTAGTTCCTATGGTCTTGATATTCGTGGAAATCTATAAAAACAACCTACCTCGTCTCCATCCATCGGTTTTTAAAACCTACTGATTTTATTTAATGACTTCTATCAAAGTTGTAGAAATTTAAGGATCGACACGGGGATTCGTCACTTCTCCATGCAATTTCCTTCCGTTTGATAACTGATGCATCAAAATCTATCTCGCTGCTGGGAGTTGGAAAAGGGATCTGTACTGATGTATTGTATATAGCGTACATACCAATTAGAAGCGAATATATTTTTATTTAAATTTAATATAATATTTATGTTTATTAATAGATTTTTAAAAAAATTGTTTTATTTTATGATCAAGATTCGGACAAATTACTATTTGGTAAACGTGGTACACCTTTTAGAATACATCACAAAAATTCTATTATTGTATAAAATTCATATCTTTAAATTTTAAGAAACAGTTTTAAGAGTATCTTATAAGGAAGGCAAGCCTAGCGGTGCGGAGCTGGTAATTAGATACCAGATTTGACCTATATTTCCTTGCGGGGGTGCGCCCCGCCACAAAATCTAGAAAGTAGCCAAGCCAATATTACCAGATAATGTCTTCGAAAGGGTTAAATACATCAAAGTAATTTGTATTTGTATGTTCTAACAATAAAAAATTGAATACAATAGCATTAGTACTTATATATCATAAGCTATTCGATCGAACCAAACACTTACAAAAACCGATTGGGGAAAAGACATTTTCATTCTTAAATTACAAAACACTCAGGGCTTTAGAGAATTCAATACTAATGCAATGGTAATTCATGTTAGTTAGAACTAGATTACTTCCACACACAAACTCTCGTTATATACAATAAAACTTTTATGATTTGAAATTATTGATGAAATCGGAAAAAAATATTCTAAAAAATGAAATGATGACAAAAATGATCCACTTAATTTGGATACCCGTATGAATAAATATTAAGTTTTTATTTGAAAAAATAATATCGTTTTGATTATTTATTCTGATATTTATTTCAGCAGTTGTGGAAAGAAAGGTTAATTAAAAAAGATTTTCACGATGAAATCTTAATGTAGATAAAAATTGTTATTTAAAAAAAATATAGCAAGTTTAAATTAAAATTATTTTCTTAAAAATTAAATTATAAAACTTGACGTTAAATCAGATCATGATAGCCAGATGGGTTTCATTAGATGTTTGGAGAACAAATTAAGACATTACTCCACTAATAAAAAAATACATAAAGTCAAAACAAACACTTCTGGAATTTTTTTATGAACGACCGTCTCAAAGGATGCGAAATCATCTGTCCTTGAAACGAACAAATAATTGTACCTAAAATTAATAAGTTACTCGTAATTGAAAGAGAAAATATTATTTGGACAAAGAAGAATGACTACAAAAAACGAGAATTCAAGGATATCTGCGGAAAAAAAGAAACAAACTATAAGAAAAGAAAAAAGAAGAGATAATATAACATGCTAGAATAGTAAAAGGTACTTAAGTTGCCTTAGATGATTGATATCTAATTGATTTTGACTATCTATAAATTTCTAAGAAAGATATATTTTTTTCACAAAAGTAACAGCGGTTACCGACGACTTTGAACCAAACAAACTATGCATAACAAGAGATTATTCCATGTAAGAGGTTTCAATAATTGACTAAAATTGACGAATGTTAAATAAAATTGTGACAGGTATATATATATATATATATATATATATATATATAATATTAATAATATATACAGATATTAATAATATCTGCACATAGAGTAAATACAAAAAAAAAATACTTAATCAAATAAATAATTTGATTCCAGAGTAGGTTATTGCAGAGTTGAAATATAAAACTGTGGATGAAGGTATAACTTTTCTACTAGAAATATCACTAAAATTAATAACAAAAAATGTTGAAATTGGAGTTAGTCATTCAGTCAACTTAAAGACTTATATATTTCATACATTTTTTATTTTTTTTTACAAAACTCTGAAATATTGGTCTACTAGACTAAAGCCGAAGTAATTTAGTTTAAGAAGTAATTTTACTTATATTTCATCAGCTTATGAAGTATATTGCAAGTCACCAAGCATAATTTTGATGGAGCTCAACTTTATATATACAATAATATATGCAAATACACAGTTGGTACATCGAAATGAAACAAACCTTCTTATGTATCCGAAACAGTAACACCAAAGGCTTATGTGTGACGCAATATGTTCACACACACACACTCACAGAACGTGATATGTTCCGATATCTTGATACGATATCTTTCGTATCGCTGAGGATTATCGCGTTCTGTGAGACTGCTAAAATGCAGTAATAATCTATAATAGATAGTAACACAACTACATCATCGTATCGCATTCTGTATATAGAAGCCTTTAAACTAAAATGTTCTTAATTATTCATCAAAGTACTTGATTATTCAATTTTATGAGATATTATTTCGTTTTTTACAAGAAACCCACGATATATAGTGTTAATAATGTTAATAATTTATTTATACGTTATTTGCAATATATAAAATATTAGTACATATATAAAGGTAATTCATGTAAGAAAAATTTATCGAAGAAGCAAAATCGCCTATTATTATTATTTTAACAATAATTTATGACTAACAACTAGATTAATTATTTAATAACGAAACGATTAATTGAAATTATTATTATCTTTATTTATTAATTAAATGATCGTAATATTTTTACAACAGTTACTTTAACATGTGCCGAAGACCCCATTTGCTGCGCTAATACAGAGCTGGAGGTGGTGAAGGGGGGGGGGGAGGGGGAGTCGGGAAAACTAGGTTAAGAGAAGTAACCCGGAAAACTGATTGCGAGAATTTTCCCAACAAGCAATTCGATACGTTTACGAAAGGCCTACACAAAGATCAGACCACGCTTCGTTGCATTCTATCTGCCCGAAAAATTGAAATAATCGGCCATATTACAAATATTCAATTGCGTAATCGTAATGCCCCCATTATTTTTCATAATCTAGTCTTTTGTATAAGGCTTGTCGCTGGAGATGTGAATCTAAAGCACTGGATGTTAATTGCTTCACGATAAAATTGTTCTTAAAAAATAATGATTAATGTCAAAACCATAAGAATTCGATACTTTAAAAGGGAAAAATAACAAGCTTACAACAGATGCAATTACTTATATCCATATTAGGAGCTAACAATAAGTCAATTTATAGTCTTTAAGTATAATTTATGGATATCGATGAGAACGTTCGTATTTATGGACAGCGATCGTATATCAAGTGTAGACATTTAAGTATAGATAGATAAGACAGACGGGATTAGAACAGTAAATTCATATACGTTGTAATGTTAACATTCTAAAAAAAACACCATTTACAAAACAGATGACAACTAAATAAAATTACTTCATCAACCTTTAATAAACTAATTATTTAAAATAAAGTCGAAAATAATATACATACGACAGCACTCGAAAAATAAAACTCCATACTCACCTGAAAAAAAAAGAAAAAAAATTAATAATGAGTAACATAATATTTTAACATATATAATACAATATCTCCTTGGGATCCATTCAATCTAAAAAATAGATAAATCAGGCGGTTAGATAGAGTGCTGCTGTGCCTACAGAGAATATAGTAAAATTAAGAATCAGACATCTGATAAGATAGGAGGTCTTATTTATCTGATATAATTAGTAATTAAATACCCAATATATTTAAACATTAACTAAAACAATCATTTTGTGGAATCATTTATTAGAAAAACGATTAACTAATTTTATTATACATTGGGAGAGGGATTTTCATAACTTTGAATTCATAACATGTATTTTGCGTATTCAATATAAGCATATGCCAAGAAAAATATAGAACCCTTATTGTTTCGAAATATATTATTTAAGTCTCCCAATATCAAATTCTGGATCAGCTACAGATCATGATAATGAT